AAACGAGGAAGAAAGATAAGGAGAAAAATAAAAAAAATAAAATTGTTGTTGATTACTTATCTGCGCGACGGCGATGACAAGGACGGCGCGGCGCAGCGACGAGGACGAGAGGCATGGTGATGACGACGTGGCGCAACGGCGGCGATCCCGTCGGTGACGATGATGACGGGGCACAATGACGACGATTGCGATGATGACGATCATGACGTGGCACGGCGGCGACTATCTCGACGATGATGTTGATGATGGCCAGGTGACGACGTCGAAGCAGGGTGGGTCGGGACGTCGAAGCAGGGTGGGTTGAGCGGGTTCGAACCGCTCCGATACCAGTGTAACGAGCGTGAGGCTGAGGGTGAGCCGAGGGAGAGGAGAGAGAGGGAGAGAGTGAGAGCACACACACACACTCACTCACTCGACACGACTAACTCGGACTGAGGATCGAACGCAGACACAGTGGCAAGGCCGAAAACGGGATGCAACTGAAACAGCAAAAGATAGACCAGGGATCGAGCCCTGGAGAAGTCCGTAACAATTATTATTATTATTATTATTATTATTATTATTATTATTATTATTATTATTATCAGGTTATGCTACAACTGATGATACGAACCCTTACCACTTGCAATCCATCTTTTAACTCCAATTTATTGATAGGGAGCAACACCTGCTATAAATCACGGTCAGAATCCGTCTTATAGAATAACAACAGAGTTACAGCGATTTCAAAAGTCGTGACCGCTAGTCTCGAAATTGGGATCAGTAGACTCTACTAGTACCTCTTCACCATATTGTTGAGCGCCAGATTGAACCTTCCTTACCAGGACTTGTCGCCCTGAGTTTTGATCCCTCCACCTGACCCCACCTCATCATAAATTATGAATCCTCCCACTTACTAAGACCTTTCTTGTCCCTACCGCCCCCCGCCTAGCTCAAAGACATTATGTCATCTATAGTAACTCTTTGTTTTTTTTAAGATAAAGGATTTTGATACGCTGTATGATTTTTGCACTTCAATTATCAGACACATGCGAATACGTTTCAACAAACTCAAGGTGATTCTAAGTGCAATGAAGTTCCCTCTACCAAGAAAATTTGAGAACAATTTCAATCTTTTTTTTTTTGCGTCGATACGAATGTGGAAAAAAAACGCAGTAATCTTACGTTTTGTGCTTCGCACCATAACACAACCTTTTGGAAATACTTATCGGAAACTGATACGGATCAAATTTTAACAGGGTGGTGTTTTTTTAGAGAAGGTTAACGGAGGCCTGAATTTTCATAAATTTCTCATGTCATTTATAAGAAATTGAAAGATGTTTTTAATGAGACTTGTCAACCTTCGTGTCCTACCCTTAAGTGTACAGGGTCCTGTAGTACAGGGTTGAGTTCTTTTTGTGAATCAGTGCTTAAAAAGAAAATTCGAAGAAAATGATTGGATGTTAAACATTAAAAAACAAATCAGAGAGAAACTAAAAAAATTATTTGTGAATCATAAGAAAAACACAAGTTAAGGCAACTTCATTGCAATATAAAAGAAAAGAAAAGAAAAGAAAAAACCATAAAGACAATCCTTCATCCTTCAAAATTGTTCACCCAAACAAAAAAATATTATTCCCATGTTTTTTTTTTTTTTTTTTTTGGCAAGTTTCAATCTGAAAAGGGTTTTTATCTTCCAGTTACAATTATACATTGACGATCGAATGGAAGGTTTGATGAATCCATGGAAAGTTTGATGAACTCATGACATATATCTTAATTAGTTTTTCATTCCACTACTACAAATTTCTTACAGTTTGACATTGGATAAACCGTTTTCTGACTGGATTGTTTTGAATGAAGTGATAGTCTAGTTAAAAGCATGATTGTGGAATACTGTTTCATAGGACTTTCGCAAACTCATCGGGAGGATGAAACTGATCTCTCTCTCTCTCTCTCTCTCTCTCTCTCTCTCTCTCTCTCTCTCTCTCTCTCTCTCTCTCTCTATCTATCTATCTATCTATCTATCTCTATCTATCTATCTATCTATCTATCTATCTATCTATCTATCTATCTATCTATCTATCTATCTTTCACACACACACACATACAGACACACACACACATAAATGTCATGCACATCTGCATTGTCTGCACACACTGCATGTCAGTCATGTTAACACATATTTCTTTTTCGTAGTAAGATTCGGGATTTGAGGTGTCATCCTCAAACTGATTCGTCCCAGGTAATTAGGAGTATTTTATTCATATGATTTCATCAGCAACATGACATCGTCAACAATTACATGGACACATCATACAAGCAGATGAAACAGTTTCACGGGCCTCGTTCCGAAACTAACCAGGCCTGGTGGGGGGGAAAAGCAAACAAACAAACAAATAAGACCAAACAAAAATCCTCACAAAATTGCGGGGTAAAACAAATCTGCGGGCCTAAGTTTTATTTTCTTCCCAAACTCAGGACAAGACAAATTTGCTAACTGCAAATTCCTTTGCCACATAGAACCCAAAATCGTCACGTGGCTGCAATGATTTTTTCTTGATCAATCAACAGATTCTTCACATCCCCAATCGACAAATACATCTATACATCCAAAAATTTATCGTAATGAGTATAAATTTATCTATACATGTGTACACATTGGAGGTAGATTTGTACATCCATTGATGATCATATATGGATCTACTGATCTTTTGGTTGTTTTATACATTTGTTGATCTGTAGATAAATGTTACACAAAATTTATGAAAATCCAACAAAACCACAAAACCCAACGCTTTGTATAGAATGAAAAAATACAAGTCAAACTTATATTTCTGATTTTTTAAAAATACATTTTTGACAACTTTATGAGAGACAACGCAAAAAATCAGGCAAACAGTCTAGCAATTCTTAACACATCGAGGAAAACTCTTTCTTGCAAAGATCCTCTGATGGGACTATAAGTCATTCTCAATAGACTTGCAAAAAATCAGAGCTCCAGTAAAAAACTCGAAAGTTGTAAAAAAAAACGACATCTAGGACTATATGTTGTTTTCAACATTATAGACTCTATAAAATAATTTTGAAGTTAATAGTAAAAGCTTTGTCAAAAAATATATGCTATGTAAAATAAAAAAAATTGTTTCAGATTCTTAATCAAACGCAAGTTAAAAAAAAAAAAAAAAAACATAAAAAAAAAATAAATTGCCCACAGATGGGAGAATATGTTATGGCGAACGTATTAACAAACAAGATAATACGTTCACACGTTCGCCAAACCCTCGAACATATTCGTCGTGATACACAATTTGTAGGACTATACACATTATCTTTTGAGATAATTGAAAACATGGATATTTCACTTTATAAATATACAATGTTCCACCTAGTAATGATTTATTGTGAGAAATTTGGTGTTTTTCCTCGCCGCTTCCAGTGGTTCTCCAAAAATCTTTTTTTATTCTTTTTTTGTGTTTTTTTTTACTTTGAAAAAAATCTTGCTCTTATAAAAGGCCTAAAAACTGTAGTCTCAGAATCCTAAATAAATTTCGTTTAAACCCAACATTTTGTTTTGGGGGGGGTGTCACAAATCCGATATTCAGATAGACGATCTATACTTCCATATATAAAACTATAGATCCATAAATGAATATCGGATTCTGTGGATGTAGATTAATCTATAGATGTACAGATAAACCGTAACCTATTTATATATCTGTGCTTATATCAATGGATGTATAGATGCATCTAGAGTTCTAAACATCGTTCTCAAGATCTTTAATAGACCGATCGATTGATCTATAGATTTAAATTGGATCTATGGAATGCATCTAAAGTTCTAAATATCATTCTCAGGATCTTTAATAGACCGATCGACTGATCTATGGATTTGAATTATGTACCTGTAGATAGATCTTTAGAACTACATTTTCTAGGCAGCGGCATGCGGACGGTTTTGTGTCCGTATGCTGTTTGGGCCTTCGGTGTGGCTTTTCGCCCCCCGACGGGGGATGGTAATAATGACCCTCGTAGGATGCGATATGGAGGTGGGTTTGTGGAATTTGACGAGAAGTCTAGGGAGATGATGGACGGTTCCCCCTGATGAGACAGCGTGGCGGCTGTCGAAACCGGTCGGGGTGCCAACCCGCCGGAGTTGTATTTCGATTACTATATTGTATAATTGGTTTTGCATGTTTTCACATGTCGTACTTTTTGTACGTGTCTGCGTTTGATCGTCTCATCTACGTTTCTGCGTTTGATCATCTGATCTACGTTTGTCACTTTCATCACAACTCGATAAGGCTCGTATGAACCAACTGGGAAGTTGCCTAGCAAGTGTGAGCACGCTTTTGTTTTTGCTCTGAGTTTTTTACTGAGAGTTACTGAGATTTACGTTTTTTCGTCGTCTTCTTCTTTTTCACGTTTGAAGAGTTGATGTCATCAGCAACTGCGCAGCTAGGGAAGCGTGAAAGACTACGTGCAGTTGTTTCGGTACAGTTTAGTGAGGATGTCGGGCACAGCGCACCGGGATTACCGACGCGATGGCCATCGCGATAGGCATCCGGAGTTTGGTTCAGGTTATAGTTATGGCGGGAACAGGGACTACGGAGGTAATGACCGACGGGAATGGCAAGGAGACTTTCGAGATGACAGAGCGGGCACACGCGACCAAGGGAGTTATCGTGAGCAGCCAAGGCGCTTCGTTCTGATTTGCTATGAGTGCGGCGAGCCAGGGCACTACAAAAACCAGTGCCCTCAGCTGTTTGGGGAAAGCAGTGCTCGACGCTTTCCTCAACGCGGACGGTCTACATCCCCGGCTCATCACGATAGGAGTGGGGATCGACGTTCAGCATCGGAGGATCCGGCTGTTAGGAAACAACTTGAGGATCTAGCTAGCTCACTTGCGGATATGAAGACTTTTATCGACACCGAACAAAATAGGAAGGAGGAGAAAGTCAGGTTGAGGATGGAGAAAGAGAAACGCGTACGAGAGAAGAAAGAACGGGTTTTGAGGGTGGAAGAGGAGAAGTTAGCAAAGAAAAGACGACTGAAGAAGAAGGAGGAGAAGAAAGGTTGGAAGCAGAAGATCGGGAAGCGATGCGTAAGGACTTGCGGATGGAAATTCGCATGCACATGGGAAATGTGTGTGAGGAACTGCATCAACGTTTGGCGTCGGCAATACCTACCAAGAAGAAAGATAAAGGGAAGCTGCCAGTGCATGTGTCGTCTGAAGAGAAAAGCGATGAGCCAGAAGGAAGCGATGTGGAAGCAGTGTGCGAGCAGACGGAGGAGTTAGCCGTCAAAGAGAAGCGGAAGAGAAGTGTGGAGCGGCCAGTCGGAGATAGCCCGCCAATAAAAACTCATGCCAAGCGGGCATCAGCGCGAGATGTTTTGGATCCGAAACGCTTGTTACTAAGCTGTAGACGACAACTGTTAAAGCGGTCACCTAGGAAGCAGACACCGAAGTCGCTAAGAAGCGCGCGAAAAGGCAAGAAGGTGCCGGCATCGCCAGGCACGATGGGGAGATTGATGTTTGTTACGGATAACCTACGTGAGTTAGGCGACCGTAACATTGAAGATTTGAAGCAGATTTGTCGTTCGGAGGACGTGCCCTACGAAGGTTTGAGGAAGATGGATATGATCTTAGCGATCACCGAGAAGCGTTCGCAAGTAGCCTATGGCCCCGAAGGTGAAGCGAAAGGCCCAACAGGCGCGATCACTGAAGAAGGTAATTAGAGCGAGGATAAGGAGGAATTGGCAGGTAACGACGACGATAACGATGTTTGAACAGTGGAGGAGTATTGGAGACTATGTAGAGCTCTCATAAGTGTGCGCAATTTTTTGCCGCAAGACACTATCGTCGATATTTTGTATTGTTTGGTAGTGATTATGCTCACCTTACTAGGGCAGATCTGTTGACTGTGAAGATTCTTGGATGAGCCTATACCAGCATCTTGGCATGAAAGTTTTCAGTGGGCGCATCGGGGGTGTCTATATCTTGTCTTCACCATCATATAAAGCACAATATGTTGGACAGACTAAGCGACAGTTCGATATTCGATGGAAAGAGCACATCTCGGCTTGTGACCGAGGCAAGAAGCAGACTCACCTATATAGATGGTGGCAGGTTTATGGGTCTGAATCGTACGTTCTGTTACCCATTGAAGTAGGCGTCGCGTCTGAACTACCAGGTCTTTAACTGCTTTACATCAGAAGATGGTCTCCTGTACTCAATACCACAGGCAAACCCGTTTGCAGGCGTTCAAAGATGAAGAGTCGACGAGGGAAGAGGGAACGGGCTAAGTGCGATGCGGAGGCAAGACGAGTGCCTCCAAAGGAATCTAATAGGCTGCAGACTGTTTTGCCTGTTAAGACGAAGGTACTTGATGAGGATGACTGGAGCGTGGATTTCTACAGACTGATATTGAAACAGGATGGAGCCGCGGCACAACGTTTTAACTTTACAGTCGAGAGCGGTAATGCATGGTGTGGTGGATGGAAATCTGTCACACGTGCCTTTGAGAGCTCTATAGTTCGTTGGGGAAGACAACGGAAACGCTTGAGTATGTGCAAATTGGATTTCGAAAGGGGAGGGATCTTCGAGATGGTGATGTTGGTCAAATGGGTGTCGAAGGCAAGCCCTGACAAACGATTCCTGATTTCACTTTTTCGAAATCCATGTCGTTTAGAAGTGTTGAAGGCGTGTAGTCCGGAAGTTTTACTACGACTGAGCAAGGCTGCGGGGGATTTTCACAAAGCATTTTCAGCAGCCTACCTGCGACGTTTCGTCGTTCGAGCAATCAAGGAAGTTTATGGATGGAAGTTAATCATACGGTTGAAGTACGATGACCGGATCCGACTGGTGGAGGTTCGTAAGTTGGTCAATGATAAGATTGAGGCGTTGACCATTTTGTCTTGTCTGAAAGATGCTGCACGGGGCATGATCCAGATTGTTTGGGTAAAAAACCCATCGATCGTGGAAATGATACACAATCAGCGACGTTTTGCGAGAGCTGAGGTATCAACCTGCGTTTGCGCAGGGTTGCCCTACCCACGGGTAGGTGGCCACGTGCAGTTTCGTCTGCAGGAATTGGAGTGGATCAATCCTAGGATTTGTCATGCTTTGAATGTTCCTAAGCTGTGTGTTTCAAGTAGGACGAAACCACTAGGAAGGGAAATAGCAGCGGGGTTCGTGGATTGGCGTAACTGGACTGGACCGGACGTGTCGTGTCGGGATTCGGAGCTGTCCAATTGTATGAGTGGTAGTACGGGGGAAAGGGAGAAATTTCTGAACCCGTTGGAAGTGGAGAAGGTTAAGTCTGTACTGGGTGGTTTGGTACTGACCCCGGTTGATCGTAATCCAGGGAAGACTTTAGTCATGTGTCCAGCTTCGTATTACGAAGCCATGATGGGGATGTTTGTTACAACAGCAGGATACACTATCGTGAAGGAATCAGAGGCTGAAGTGCACCAGATCATGCGATCTCGTGGGAAGGAGTTGGATTTACAGAAGTTTGTTCGTTGGGATGGGAAAGGTAAGGTGGGTGAGGCATATATCATGCCTAAGCACAAAGATCTGACCCGTTTTAGGCCTATTTGCCCGACTTTTTCTAAACCTACGGTTCGGACATGTCATACGGTAGCCAAGGGTATCAATCACTTGTTGGCAGCGATGTCCGCAGAGAGTAACTTCAACTTGAAATTGGTTGGGGATTTGGTGCCGAGACTGGATCAGTGCAATCGAAGGATTGCCAAGTCGGCAACGGGCGATTTTGATTTGGTATTCAGGTCCTACAATATTAAGGACATGTTTACCACAGCACAAGGATATCGTGGCCGCTGTCAACTGGGTCATCGACCATCATGAGAGGAAAGGGAGGACTTGGGTGCGTGTTAATACCAGGGGTTAAGGCTGTACCTTTGGAGCAACAGCTGGGGAGGAATCGTGGAGGAAGCTGGCGTTGGTCGATATTCGCAAGTTTGTCCGATGGGATTTGGAGCATACATTCACGCGAGCCACAGGTGTGCTGTTGAGACAAGCAGTGGGGATACCAATGGGCAAAAACACCAGCCCACCCCTCGCTTGTATTCTGCGTGCGTTTGCAGAATGTAATTTCCTTAACAGCTTGGGGGGTTGGGGCCACTATGTTTTTGGTTTCGTCTGATGGACAACGTCAGTTTGGTGATTGTGGAGAAGCATAGGAAGCCAGCACCGGTTGAGATGATTCAAGGTCTGTTCGAAACATGTTACCCGGATGGTTTGACGTTGAAAAGGACCGATCACGAGGAAGGCGCATGGGATTTTTTGGGCACCAGTATGTCTGTGGATGTCCTGAACCCGTACCTGCGCTGCGTCCAGTCAACTAAGAACGAAGCCGCCATGTGGGATGACGAGCGATTGGAGTATAAGAATGGACAGACATACCATTCTTGGGGTAGCAAGACGCAGAAAAGTGCAGCCATTGCGAGCTGTTTGCACCGTATAATGAGGAACACGAATGTGCAATCAGCAATCCCATTGAGGGTACTGAGCCTGCAACGGTAACTCAGACTGAAAGACTTCCCGAGTTCTTCTCTCCGCCGGGTGTTGAAAAGATTCACCGTGGGACGTGATTCGATACGGGCATGGACATATGATTGGCTGTTTAGCGAGTGATGTAGTTTTCCTTACTTTTTTTGATATGTGTTTGATGAGTTGTATCGTTTTTAGTCATGCTCGGCTTGTGTTTCCTTGGAATCATACGCAGGTATTGGCATAATCGACATTGGTAGGCATAGGATGTTTGAATAGTTTCAGATGTTTTTCGCACATTTGGTTGCTGTCTTGTTCGTGTTTCTGTTTTTGTTTTGGATATTGGTTGCAGAGACAGGGCCGCAGAGGATCGGATGGATTGTGTAGATCAAGGTTTGAGTACGGATTTTAGGCGCATGAGTATCGCTGCCAGTCTGATTGGGTTGTAGGGACAGGGCTGTAGCGTTTCCATGTGGGACTGTTTTGTGTATATGATGTTTCGAAGCCTGGGTATCGCTGTAGGTCCATACGGACTGTTTTGTGTCCGTATGCTGTTTGGGCCTTCGGTGTGGCTTTTCACCTCCCGACGGGGTATGGTAATAATGACCCTCACAGGATGGGATTGTCGGAACCCAGTTTTACCCAGTGTAGTTTGGACCTTCGATAATATTTTGTCAGACTTTTGGTATAGGACCTGTTTTTTTCAGATGGGTACGTGCAAGTTGTAAGTAGGAGGAAGTGGACTTTTTTTGGTGGTCTATTTTCGGGTACCGTGCAGTAGATAAATAGTAATTGTGAATACGCCTTTGGTCTTTTCCGGCTCTTCCGGGTCCAACGTCGTAATATCCGCTATGCAGCGGCGTTTACGTACGGAGGTGGGTTTGTGGAAGTTGACGAGAAGTCTAGGGAGATGATGGACGGTTCCCCCTGATGAGACAGCGTGGCGGCTGTCGAAACCGGTCGGGGTGCCAACCCGCCAGAGTTGTATTTCGATTACTATACTGTATAATTGGTTTTGCATGTTTTCACATGTCGGACTTTTTGTACGTGTCTGCGTTTGATCATCTGATCTACGTTTCTGCGTTTGATCATCTGATCTACGTTTGTCACTTTCATCACAACTACATTTTCTAGTCACTTCTATTTTTGGTTTCACAATCCCAGCCACAAGTTCTGTCACATAGATTGTTTTTCGATTCTTTCTTTTTTTTTTTTTTTTTTCCTCCCCTGAATGGCATGTGCCATGTGGCAGGCGGATTACTTTGCATTCAACCTCCGCACTATATGGCGATTCCACACTAAGTTTGCGTCGTCCCAAAAACTGGTCCAAAAACTGTGTACTGTATAGAGAGAAATGTGGCTTCATTGCTGGAACCACCTGTACTGTGCCTTGTTGCCTTGCTCTTGGCTTGTCACTGCCCCCCATGCATACTGCATTGCTGCTGGCTTGCTCCCAGACATGCCTGCCTTTCTTGTTCCCTTGCTCCCTGCTTACACGCCCGGCCCGGCTTTCTGCCTTGATGCCTACGGCCTTCACCCAAATAGAACGCCTGGTCATTATATCTGTACTTCCTGCAACTTTCAGTCTAGATACAGTAATAATGACCAGGCGTTCTATTCGGGTGAAGACGAAAGGTCCTTGGCTACCTCTTTTTTTTCCTTAAAAAAAAAAAATAACATCCCAATTCGTGCTAGGGGTGCTGATAAGAGCAGTCATCCCTGACACTGTCTGGGCGGCCCCTTCTATTGGTGAGGGGCATCACCTGCTGAAAACCGGGTTCAGCGTCCCTTTATACGAAAATAATTATGAAAGCAGTTTTACCAAATCTGCCTTGTGCCTTGCTGCCTTAGGGCCCACAGGATTGCCTTGCTGCCTACAGGATTGCCTTGCTGCCTACAGGATTGCCTTGCTGCCTACAGGATTGCCTTGCTGCTCCCATCCTTGCCTATCTTGTGCTTCATTGTATTGCTGTCAGAGTCTGCCGTTTGGTCCACTCGCATGCCTTTCTCATGTCTTGTTGCTTGCCTTGTTGCCTCCCCGTCACCCATCTTGGCTGCATAGTCAGGTCGCCGCTTGCGAGCACATGCATTCAGTCATTGCCTTGTGCCTTATTGCCTTGCTGCTTGTTTGCCTTGTCTCCTCATTACTTTCTTTAGCTCTTGCCTCATAGTCTGCGTCGTGCTTGGCTGCTTGCCTTGCTGCCTTCGTGCCTATCTTGGCTGCTTGCCTTGTTGGCTTGCCGCCTCATTGTTTGCCTTGTGCTTGGCTTCTTGCCTTGCTGCCTTGCTGGTTGACTTGTAGCAACTTGCAGGCCTATCTTGTCTCTTGTTGGCCCGCTGTTGGCTTCCCGCCAACTTCGTAAGTGTGCATTCTTTGTTGCCCTCCAGGCCGCCCTTTCTAAATCTCCGTTTGCCTTGCTGCAATGCTTGCCTTAACACCCACTTGCCTGCCTGCCCTGTGCCATGTTCTTCTGCATCTGGCTCTGCCACCAACCTGTCTGCCTCTTTGTTGCCCTGCAGCTTGCCTTGCTGCGTTGCTGCATACCTTGTTGCCTTGCTGCCTGTGCCCTTGTTACCTTGCTGCTGGCCTTGTTCTTCACCTTCCTGCCGGCCCGCTCTGTTGCCCTGTTACTTGCCTTGCTGCCTTGCTGCCTTGCTGCCTGACTGCCTGCTTTGCTGCCCTGCTGCTTGTCTGCCTGTTTGCTGAGTGCTGCGCTGGTTGCCTTTCCACTTGCCTCCCTGCCTCTCTTCCTTGTGACTAGTTACCACGCGTACACCCGGGCCTGGCGGCCTTCCACTGCACGCCAAGTTTTTCGAACCGCCAGCAGTGCATTTTTTTATTTTTTCTTGGCTGGCACCACCAGCCAAAGCAGTCCGGTAGCCCCAAGGCTCTGTGAAATTTCCACAGATGATGAACGATTTCTCCACAGGGCTGGGGCCATGTACTGGCGGTTTAAGCTCCAGTTCGGGGAAAGCGACTGGCACTGGCTGGTACCCACCCAAAAAAAAACAAAAAAACAAAAAAAAAAAGTGCATTTGAGGCAAGTTATGACTCGGGACACCAAGAGGCATCTTTGTGGATTGCCGATTGCAATCAACGGAACTAACAAATCAAGGGAAATCACCACAAATAGATTGGAGCATTTGTTTTTTAAAAAAAAAAAAAAAAAAAAAAAAAAAAGGGAAATAACACCTCAAAACAATCAACACATCCGAAGGTGATCTTCCGCAGTCAAATAAGCACAAAATAATCTGCCATCTGAGTCAGTAGGAGTCTAACAACTCAAAAAAACAGTCAAAACACCAAAGGGCACCTGGTCCCGCGGTTTCAGCCTCGTTCTGATTCAGTAAGGGCTGGACCCCACAGGCCCGCGTTAGCTTTGCGCCTGGAAATCATCCGCCAGCACAAATAGTCGCTGAGGGGAATGGGCAAAAGAAAAGGGACTCCACCGCCACAGCAGATTTCTGCACGTCCGCAGGCTTAAAAAGTTACCAGATCAGGAAGACTTGCCCTTTCAGGCATGTGTGCCTCCCCTTTTTCAGCACACTGTCCAATCCCTGTGCCTCCTTTCCGCACCGGACGGCTGAATCAAGAGGGTAGCCTGGGGGGGCTACCCTGATGTTGCTTTGGCACAATATTTCCGAATCGGAAATTGGAGTGCCACGGAGGAATTCCCATCATGACCCTACGTGGTAATGTCCTCCCCAAGTTTTCCTGGCCGCTCCCTACGGCCTGTGGGGTCTTAAAAAAGAACTCCGTGCCAATCCATACGCTTTTCCGCACGCCTGTATGGTCGAGACCAAAGAGTCTAAGACTTGACAAAACATCTGACATCACCCCCTGGTCTTATTTTCCTTCCTGATGTCCAATCTACGAAGAACCGAAGTCGAATCAGCACAAAACGAAGTCGTAGAGTTGTCGCTGCTGATCTTAGGGTCGTCGCTGTTGGCCAGAGGGTCAAAATTTGGTCCTGGTGCCCTCGAAGGATGGCCCAAAAAGTCCCTGGGTCCGTCCTCTTGGGGTCATGAGACAAATCAATGCATCCAGGGCCTCCAGGAGTCAACAAGGGACTTAGGAAATAGAACCGTCACTGTCAGTCAGGCCCACCCAGGCACAGAAGCGAAAGCATCAAAGATCTCCCAGGAGTTAACCACGGCCACAGATCACACACGATCCCACGGCTCAGTACAGTTTTCTGAAGCTTCCAGGACTCACTGGGTCCTGGCACACTGTAGAAAAATGCCTTTTCAACTGCCATCAGGACAGGCCAAGTCAACGCTACAAGTACTGGGTGGCCTGGCCAAGGTCACCCTTCATTGTATACCTTGCACTGCTTTGTGGCTGAAGAACTAGCGCTCGCACAAGGCAGACAAAGAGACTGAGAGTGTGAGTGGCCAGAGCTAGGATAGACAGTGTGCTGCACCGTGGCCTGCAGTGAGTGAGTGTGAGTGTGTGTGCGTGTGTGTGTGTGTGTGTGTGTGTGTGTGTGTGCTGGGGGCGGGGGGGGCGGTTGCGTATGGGTGCATGTGCATGCGTGCGTGTGTGTGTGTGTGTGTGTGTGTGTGTGTGTGTGTGTGTGTGTGTGTGTGTGTGTGTGCGTGCATGCGGGCGTGTGTGTTGTTAAAGCATCCCAAATTCTCTCTCTCATTTCCTTTATAACAAACCATCCATAACGAGAAATCATAGATAGACAATATAATAAGAAATGCAAGGTTGCCCACGTTTGTGAAGTTCGAGTTCAGCGCCAGTTGCCCACACACCTGTCTGCTGCGGAAGCGGCACACTTGCACATATAGATATATACATATATTTATTTCATAATTCATAAAAGCGTGGAGGGCAAAAGGCAACTTACTTAAGACAGAGGACTCCACCAGCAAGAAAGCACCGGCCCCATCCGCCATGGGTTCAAAAAAATCTTGGAGAGCCCTCCGCACCGGCCCACAAAACCACAGACTTAATTTTTTTAAAACCCAACAGCATAACATAAAAGGCTCGACAAACAAAAAAGCACCGACCACACATGCCAATGGTCTAAAAAAGTGTAGAGCCCTTTGTGAGCTTTTAAGTTTGAGTTCAGTGCAAATAACTGTGATTTATTTAAAATTGACATTTTTATGATGTTTTTCAATGCACGAAAACGGGCGTCAAAAAGAAAAACAGAAAAAAAAAGAGCATTTTGGACTGGCCACAACGCCAGACCATTTGATGTACCTCCATGCAGTGTTGTCACGCGGGGATCCCCGGGGCCCAAGCCGGGGTAGGGGTTTCAACCCCGGACCCCCGCCGCGGGGCTACCCGACCCCCGCCCCCGCAAAAACAACCCCGGCCCTGCCCCAAC